AAAGTGCGGGGCATTTGACCTGGGCTCCTTAGCTCACCGGAATGAGCGATCCTTAGAATGTTTGGTGTTATGACAAGCGAAAAAGTTCGACAAACCGAGTTTTTATGCAGCTAAAAGGAACCTTTATATGATTTTGAAAGAGGTTTTACTGAACTTCTTTAAACTGAGCCCGCTAAGAAACAATCTTATTAGGGTGAGTATTGTCTATCGTTAAGTATTAAGTTTTCAACTGCGGATATTGCATTTCTAGTGTTCTGATTGGTTCACTTAGCTCTGGTATCAGATTATATTCCAAGTCACCTTACATGAAAGTGCATCGCACCAGCTGTTGCGGAGCTGAAAGACGCTCCAAATATCCAAATTCTGAAGATTTAATAAAGTTTAATAAAACAGTTATTCCATTCGCGCTTGTTTGGTACGAGATTGGTTATAGCTAGGTCAGCGCCACGCACCTCGTTGGCTATTTACCATTTCATATCCAATGCGCACTTAAAAAGAAATTGTTAAATATCGCTTTGAAATGGATAAAAAGTTTAGATTTTTTTTTAAAGAGAAACTACAGTTATGGAGAAGTGACACTTGTTTCACCAATGGATTAAAAAAGCTTAATAAGATTTGTCTCGTATGTGCTTTTTCTTTATGCCTGTGTAGTATGGTCACCTACACCAAAAGAAACATTACCAACTTATAACAAATTCAACGCAGGGCCACGAGAGTCATTCTCGGTGAGGAGTACACAGAATATGAGCGCCTAAGTAAATTAAATTTATCACCTTTGCAATAATGTAGGGTAATTCATGATTTAGTTTTCTCTTTTAAACGTCTTAAGAATAAACATGATTTAGATATTTTTGAAAATGTATTGTTCCCTTCTCGTAACCAGTCTTGAGAAATATTGATTATTTAACATTTGAGGTCCCTTTAGCCGAACAGAAACTTTTAAGAATTCTTTTTTTACTTGGGTTTGTCGCGCATGGAACGAATTATCTCTCAGCATTAGGGAATCTAACACCTTACCTGTCTTTCGCAAGAAATTGTTTAATTATTTTTATGATAAGTTCAGAGCCAATTTTTTTATTGTAATTATCTTATTTCTATCATGAGTTTAGAGTATTTTTTTTGTAATTAGTTTTTGACACTTTTTTTTAATAAGGTAAATAATCAAGGCGGCTTAACTATTTAAGTAATTTTAAGTAGCTTAACTATTTTTAAGGTATTTTTGTAATTGTCTTTTAACATCAATGTTTTAACTAGGTAAATAACCAAGGCAGCTTATCTTAAGGAATCTTGTAATTTGTTTCAAGCTTTCCTCAAACTGATTGAATTGACTTGTTCAATGTAACTAATTTGGAATTTGTATTAAAGATTGAAGATTAAAGATTGTTGATGTCTTGCAAAAAGACATAGTGAAAGAGAGAGAAAAAATACCTGGAATATATAGCGTTTCGAGCGTTAGCCCTTCGTCATAAGCACAGGGCTGACGACGATTTGAATTATCAACTCAATTGATAAAGTGGCATCTCTATACAACAGGAGTTTGTTTATGATATCGCGCACAGTGACCTTGCCAAGAAAAGTTTAGAATTAATGGTTTGGGATCATGACGTTGGAAAAAGTAACGATTTTATAGATAAAAGACCTTAGTTTTTCTGAACCGTTTACATAATGACATTTGCACTGAATCAGGAGGATTTAGAGTCGCTTATATTGAGTTACCTTACAGGCTCAAGAGATGGTAAAGGATTGTGGGTAACACTTACCCTCTTTCCCTGTGGCATAAAGAGATGAGGAATATTCCTGATTTGGTTTTGAATTCTAGGATGCTACACCCTCCCCTATTATGTCAAGGAGAGAAATCCATGGAAATTAGTTTAGCATATCTTTGAAAAGTAAGGAGAGCTTCTTGACCAATTACCTTCAAAGCAACAACCCAAAGTAATCACAACAGTCTGGTCTTAAATACTAGAAAATGCGAGTGATCAAGGCTTGATTGGGTAATTCTGGCATCTGATTGGATGAGAAGATAGCGCGAGTTTTCTTGATCAATCAAATGGCGCAGTGAAGCTAAATCACTGCGGTCCCACAATTCCTTCGACACTCTTTCTAAAATTGCTTTGAGTCAACGGAAATATTAAACAATAGCGTGTCTTTCGTAGGTGGAGTTGTGATGGATATTAACTCGACCGGATATTAACTCAACCGGAAGTGAAGTGCATGTTTGATGCACTGGTACGCCATGGTGAAAAACCCCAACCAAGCACACACTTATTGGCACACGCTGGAAAAACTAAACAATCACGAACAGGAATAAGGTTTTGGGCTAAGTTATAGTAAATATTCGAAGAAGTCTCATGTTAGTTGTGTTACTCAATGTCACAGCGGTTCACCCAATACTAATCACTTCTCGTATAATAACCATCACCAAGCAATGGACAGTGTAGAGACCAGGAGTTAAAGCTAACGGTGCCTGCCCATAGAGCTGTTTTCGATTGAGTGTTGTGAAAGCAAAACCAAAATAATCACTGATGAAATGAAAGGAAGATATCTCATGGAGCCGATAAGAACTCAGAGTAAAAACGAACTGTTTGATTGAAGCGCGCGAAAATACGAGTGACCAAGTCGTGATTGGTTTAGTTTTGCAACTGATTGGTTGAGAAAGTGGAGCAAGTTTTCCGGACCAATCACACAGGGAAGCAGAGAAAACCTAGCAATCTCAGATTCCTTTCAACACTCATTTGAGAATTGCCGAGCGACTGGCTGGAATAGTCAATTCCTGAACTATTGCGGAATTTTGATCAATTTAGAGAAACTTTCAGACAACAAAAGGCGTTTTACTTCTGAACTGATAAAACCGTCTAGGCAAATCCGTTTAATACAGTAAACTCCCTGTGCACTAAAAAGCTTGTCTCCTTCCGAGAAGTGGATGGGCTAGACGGACGAATTACAATTGTTGTTTATTTTTGTCAATAGCGGTCGAATGATAACATATTTCAGTTAAAACACAGAATGGCACAAAACAAACAAACAAAAACAACAAGCAATAGGTCATTGCTCCCGAATAGAATCATACTCCAGAATGAGACGGAGACACTCAACCTGGATCGGAAGTTTTCCTGATTAGGGAGGATTCCCAGCTTAGCTGAGATACACTAATGACTTTATTCTGAATTGGCCAGTGAGTTTAACAAGGTCTTGATGTTCATAGTTTCAGAGGTATTCAAGGTATAAATAGTTTTATGCGTTAAGGTCACATTTGGATTCTCCTTGGGAGGAGAGACGGTCGGAGAAATTAAATTTAAATTTACCTGTTTCCCCCCCCCCCCAGGCTCTGTAATATTCTGACAACGCCCCCCCATTCACCGGCAGTCAAATTTCTGTGGTCACCCCCTTTACACTCTGTCAGCGACAACTTATCCCGCCCCTTCCTCCCCCTTGAAAACCACGTGATACCCCCAAATCCTCCGACCCCCACCCCCCTCCGTAGGTGATGAATTGTAACAGGTCCCTTACTCAGGGGTGCGGGGGGGGGAGTTGAAGATGCAGGGGGAAGGAGTTGAGGGCACAGAGGACAAATTTATTTTTTGTCATGTCAGTAATTTTCGTTATTTTTCAACTAAAAATAAAAATGCCTTTTGTTTATGTTACTCCATATGTATGCCCAATTATTTAGGAAAAAATATACATTTTTGTTTTCATACACCTTTCAATGTCAATTGTCAGTTATCTCATTACTGAGGAGACTGACAGACACAATTAAGGAAATGATAACAACGAAGAATTTTGTCAATTTATAGAAACAAATTGTCCGATATATACCGCGGGCTAAACAATTAGCTGACAGAGCGACCAATTTTGGAAAAAGCTTTTTATATTCCCTCTGACAGTGTAAAAGAAAAACAGTTGCATGGATTGTTAACAATAATTTGAAAGGTTGTGCAACAATAGTGTATTGGAAATTTTAAAATGTAATCTTAGGTATTAACATAATATATGTAAAGCCGTTAGCTATATAAGATCATATAACAGGGAATGGAAATAAAAAAGTAGGAGTCGCCCTGGTTGTGTTTGTTGTGGTAGTCCCGAATCTAAGTCGCTAGGTTGCTTCATTTTGATAACCGAGCCGTTGAGTCTCCAACCTGTAAAATTTATGTCAAAATACGTTTAAAAGCCGGTTTTATCAAACTTAGGTCAAAAGTTGGCGGCGACGCAACTTCGAGAGGGGGGCAACGCACTCCTGCTTCGGCGCGACGCAACTTGGGGCGACCTAGCAAGCCTACTGCCTTGGTGGCGACAAATCGCTAACACTCAAGGCGATGGACGTCATTGAGCACGTATCCTTTGCTTCAGAGGAGTTGATGATACGACTTAGTCGCTCTGTTTCCTTCCACCCCTCTAACGGGGAACTCTCTTACAAGAGTTGCACTCTGCGCTCATAGTAGTTAGGTCGACACGTCTTGCCTACATAAATCTAAGCGCGAAACAGAATTAACTGGTTTTTGAGCTGAGACCTGTACTTCTACTCCTTTCTCTTAGGTCTAAAAATAAGACTTCGGGCCCACAAAGGTGACGGAACATAAAAAAAGGGCTGTTGTCTTATTAGCTTAAGTCAACGAAATATGTTCTCTGAAATGTTATTGCAGTGTACTGTTCGAAAACGCCGCGTTTTTAAATCCACTTGACTCGATTAGAAGATAAAATGTGCATTCATTAGAGCGACAAGTGGTTCAGTCTGGTTCAACCAAAATTATTACAATACATTTTTCCACTAACCCAGGCAAAGTGCGTCATCACACCAAACTGGCCAGTTTGTTATAGGAATGACGGCATAAGGCGGCCTAAAGAGTATGTTTAGCCCACGTAATAACCACAAATGGATAAAAAACAGAGATTGTTTGGAACAGATCTTCTAAGACTTCAATTTTATTCAGAACGCTAAATCTTAAATAATACGTCCGTATTTAAGACGTATTTTTTGTCTATTTATGAAAAGAATTATACCAGTAGGTTATACTTTATATAGTTTTTTCGTGTGTTATTTTAAACAAACGTTTGAAAAGTCTCCGCTTTCTTGATCCTTTCCAAACTACAGTGGTGATGTTTCGCATAAAAATAATGCTGGCAAACAAAAGTATGCAAACAAGAAGTTGTGCTTTAAGTAAGTTAACATTGCATTTTATCACAGTTTAAGTTTAAGTGGGGAACATTCGATGGATTTTTATTTACGATAGCAGGGTCTTCCTCAGCCACGCTTGGAGATGTTTGTTGTGCTTTTTCTCTTTCCTTTCTTAGTTTCCTTTTTCTCTTCTTGACCTGAGATCTTTCCCTGCAAGTACCAAGTGTCAGATTGTTATGATCTATATATTCTATCTATGAGTTGTCTGCTACGATTTGTATTTATTATACAGCTTGCAATAGTTTTTTATTCTGTGGTTAGGATTAAGCAAACTGCCTTGAGGTAGATTTTGTAGATTGGCTTCTTAATTTTCCTTGTTCAATGGTTAATTACATAGTCTAGGTAACTTTCACTCACCCATGGCTGGGTATCTCCTTGTAATCCAGAATAGCAGAGTCCTCTTCAGCCACACTTTTTAATGATTCTTTCCTTTTTCGTTTTCTTCGTTTCTTCTTTTCTTTAGACCTCTTCCTGTGGAAAGTAATTTTCCATACTCCTCTGAGCCTTATTTTTGTCTGAAAATCTGTCCATGATCTCTAATCAACTGCAGCTTGAAAAAGTATACGAACTCTGAGGTTTAGTGGCATCCTTACATGCTTGTTTTATGCCACTGTCAATCATTATGGTAATTTCTATCAAGGCAATGAACATCCTTCTGCCTGTGCTCAAATGCATTTTAGCCTGATCTAGTCTAAAGCTAAGTTTATTTTTACATCCTGTGAAAGTTAATGTAGTGTGATAATAGGTGGTGGTTTGTAATCGTAGTGAATACACTTTCTATTTGAAAAACATTGTTTGTCTCACGGTGTAGTGAATGTTTTTTTACGTTTGTCCACCGATCTGTAGTAAAACATCGTGAGACACAATTATACATCAAATAACTATTCACCGCAGTGGAGGTGAATAGGAGTTGATATTTACCGAGTTGTTACTCTGAGGTGAAAAAAGCCAAAGAGATTAGTTTATTTCTGTCAGTACTCCCAAAAATTGTTGGTAATTATATTGCTGACGCTCGCTTTTGTCTCTTCAGCTACTACAAAGTGAAGAGTACTTGCTAATCACTTCCGAACCAATCAATTAGCGCGCACGAAAAGCACTATTCACCCATGTGGTATACGCTAAATTAATTAATTGATGTTGTAATTTCCCTTCCACCTGGGTGAGTCGCCCTTACCTATCATTGGATATGATCTTAAAGGCCTGGATTGCAGGATCTTCTTGTGCCAAAGTTAATCTTGTTGACTTGACTTGATCTGAACTCAAATCTTCCACAACAGCCGCCTCCATATATCTCTCTGCTAAGAGAAGCTCTTCCCAAGTAAGGCGGAGCACCTTTATCTCCTTAGCAACGTCTTTGTTGTCCTCACAGGTCTCTTGGACTTGTGCAGTTTCCATTTCTTTCATTTCGGTATCTCGAGAAACTTTCTCGTCATGACTCTCACCAGAGTGCACTTGTTCGTTATTGGGTTGAATCTCTGCTTCCGCGTGTTTCTCTGATTCCATGTGTCTCTCTGCTAAGAGAAGCTCTTCCCAAGTAAGGCGGAGTACCTTTATCTCCTTGGAAACCACTTTGTTGTCCTTACAGCTCTCTTGGACTTCTGCAGTTTCCATTTCTTTCATTTCGGTATCTCGGGAAACTTTCTGACCCTTTTCTGACCCTAATTTTATTTATGGTTTACTGTCAAAATGATCAGCACTGACCCTGATTCATTGCTACCGTAATAAATCGTACTCTAAGTGAATTTTTCTTCCAAACAAAACAGATCTTCGTACCTTGATTTCTTGTGTTCGTTCTCTCTTTTATCTCATCACTGAAAGGAATCAGTTGTATTTTTCATTCGCTTCAGCTCCTTCACATTTGTTTATATTTTACCTCTACACGGAAAAGAAGTCAACTGTTTTTCATTCGCCTCAGGTCGTTTACATTCCCTCCCTCCCTTCTCCTTCCCTCTCTGTCCCTCCCCTCTCCTCCCCTCCACTCTCGGCCTTCGTCTCCACCCCTCAAACAAATCTTCAAGACCCGCATCAATAATTTTACTGAGTGAAGTTTTGCATTTTGTTTCAATCTTTCTTCAAGCGACGTGACGAGTGAATGCATTTTTTTTTTCAAACATTCAGAAAGGTAAACGAAGTGCAAGCAAATATTTCTTTTTTTCTGCTATACTGAGCGGAATGGAGAAGAAAGGTATATCTTGTGGAATATGAAGTGAGCAAAATTATTGTGTCTTTTTAAAGAGAGCTAAATTTGTTTCAAAGTCGGATTATGTTTTAGATGCATCTTTTTGTTTACAAAATATTTACCATTGTAACAGATGTGGAATTTCAAGTTACTTTTGCAATCGGCCCGCTCAACAAGAGAAAATGCTTTAAGCTTTTTTCCTGTGGTAACAACGTAACAATCTTTTAGCAAGTTTTAAGCCTTACCTTTCTTCTTTAGTGCAACATCCACAAAATAACAGAGCTTGTAAAGCTTCTATGAAGGCGCGCCAAAATCTTACGAGAGGCATTTTGAGTTTTACTCTCCCTGCGGAAAAATGGATCTCCTTTGAATAAACGTCACAATCAGATGTTTTTCATAAGCGCGCGTTCGAACGACTATGCACCAGTGATGACCATAAGTCCGAAATTACGGAAAGTGTAGACTTGTGTGACTATGATTGCATAATTCAAGTCAGAAAGTTTTTTGTTGTGTGGTTTTCTTTTATTTAAGGCCAACAACCTGAATTAAAAGTTTTTCGCTCTACTCTTTATTATACTTATTTTCGTCTTTTCCAGGCCCCCAGCTAATGTGCGGCCATGTTTTATCAGCGGTTGGTTTCTGTTGAAACGACAATATTTGTTAAAATCCATGGTAACAGATCTAATAATAACATGGAAAAATTACTCAGTTCTGATTGGTTAAGATGAACGCAGTTTTCAGGTAATTCAGCGCAGAAGAGAGTTAATTCAGTGCAGAAGAGGGTTAATTCAGTGCAAAGAAAGAAACAAATCAGACATTCTGATTGGTCAATAATCAAAGAAACTCACAGATAGCCAATCACATGCGGATGTCGCAACAAAATTTGAAAATTTGAAAATTTGCGAGCGAAACAATGGCCGGCGTTTTAAGTAGGTTTTCTTTCGCCACCGCAGCTGAGAAACAGCTTAAACAACGAAAACACTATAAAAAGCACTGCTTTTTGGTTGTCAGTTTGGAAAAAGTGGTGTTTAGAGAAGGGAATTGCCAAGGAAATCGAAAATTACGAGCCGACCCAGCTTAACACTTTGCTCGAGCGATCCAACGCCGAAATTAAAAACAGTCATAGTTAAACTTCGGAAACGACGATTCCATTTCATCGAAAGTGCTTCGGACACAGACTGAACCATTCCTTGAACTGTTTAGTCGGACTTTGAACTTTCTTGCACCTTAAAGATGTGAAGATATCATTGCCTATTATTGTTTTGATCCTACGCGGTTGTTTTGACCGAACGCACGGTTTGAATAAATTACTTTTTGCACTTGATGCGCGCGCTTTGCTTATGTTTAATTATGATTATGATTATTAACACGTAATCACATGATTTTTCTCGTGAAATTTGGAATAAACAAGCACTTGTTAATTTTTTCAAAGACCAGCAATTGCACTCGCCCTACGGGCTAGTGCAATTTTGTTAGTCTTTAAAAAAATTTACTCGTGCTTATTTATTCCAAATTGCACTCGAAATCATGTGATTACCTATACAAAGCAAATGGGAAGATGCGATTTCAGGCCGTTAATAGTGCGGGGCATTTGACCTGGGCTCCTTAGCTCACCGAATGAGCGATCCTTGCATTGTTTGGTGATATAACAAACGAAAAAGTGCGGCCAACCGAGTTTTTATGCGGCCAAAAGGAACCTTTATATGATTTTGAAAGAGTTTTTACTGAACTTCTTTGAACTGAGCCCGCTAAGCAACAATCTTTTTAGTGTGAGTATTGTCTATCGTTAAGTATTAAATTTTCAACTCCGGATATTGAATTTTAGTGTTCTGATTGGTTCACTTAGCTCTGATTATGTTCCAAGTCACCTTACATGAGAATGCATTGCACCAGCTGTTGCGGAGCTGAAAGACGCTCCAAATATCCAAATTATGAAGATTTAATACAGTTTAATAAAACAGTTATTCCATTCGCGCTTGTTTGGTACGAGATTGGTTATGGCTAGGTCGGCGCCACGCACCTCGTTGGCTATTTACCATTTCATATTTATAACATAGCTAGTAAATTTATGTAATCAAATTCAATTGCGCGAGCGTGCTTCATATTCCTATTGTGCACGCTCATGACGTCAATAAAAAAAATCCCTCGAGAAAAAAATTTTTCGATCTGGTTGAAAATGTTATAAAACAATTGGTTCATATGTCAGCTGTGCGTTCATCGAGATATGAAGCACTTGGGAAGTTTGAAGAGCACTCAAGAAGTTAGAGTTGCACATCTTTCGTGCTCTCCAAACTTCCTGCGTGCTTCATATCTCGAGGAACGCACGCTGACGTATGAACCAATTGTTAACCAATGCGCACTTATAAAGAAATTGTCAAATATCGCTTTGAAAGGGGTAAAAAGTTTACGTTTTTTTTAAAGAGAAACTACAGTTATGGAGACGTGTGCAATCAGATGCCAAACTTACCCAATCGGGCCTTGATCACTCGCCTTTTCTAGCATTTAAGGCCAGCTTCCTGGACTTACTTTGTATACCATGGGCTCCCTGTGAAAGTTACCTTTGTTGCAAATGGCTGTTATGATTACTTTGGGTTTTTGCTTTGAAGGTAATTGGTCAAGAAGCTCTCTTTACTTTTTAAAGATATCCTAAACTAATTTCCACGGATTTCTCTCCTTGACATAATAGGGAAGGGTGTAGCATCCTAGAATTCAAAACCAAATCAGGAATATTCCTCACCTCTTTATGCCACAGGGGAAGAGGGTAAGTGTTACCCACAATGCTTTACCATCTCTGTAAGGTAACTCAATAGAAGCGACTCTAAATCCTCCTGATTCAGCGCAAATGTCATTATGTAAACGGTACGGAAAACCTAAGGTTTTTATCTATAAAATCGTTACTTTTTCCAACAGCATGATCCCAAACCGTTAATTCTAAACTTTTCTTGGCAAGGTCACTGTGCGCGATATCGTAAACAAACTCCTGTTGTATAGAGATGCCATTTTATCAATTGAGTTGATAATTTCAAATCGTCGTCAGCCCTGTGCTTATGACAAAGGGCTAACGCTCGAAACGCTTGTGGTAAAAACTCTTCTCATATTCCAGGTATTTTTTCTCTCTCTTTCACTGTGTCTTTTTGCGAGACATCAACAATCCTTAATCTTCAACCTTTAATACAAATTCCAAATTGGTTACATTGAACAAGTCAATTCAATCAATTTGAGGATAGCTTGAAACAGATTACAAGATTCCTTATTAAAAAAAAAGTGTCAAAAACTAATTACAAAAAAAAATAATCTAAACTCATGATATAAATAAGATAATTACAATAAAAAAATTGGTACTGAACTTATCATAAAAATAATTAAACAATTTCTTGCGATAAAAAATTAGCACTGAATTTATCACAAAAATAATTAAACAATTTCTTGCGAAAGACTGGTAAGGTGTTAGATTCCCTAATGCTGAGAGATAATTCGTTCCATGCGCGACAAACCCAAGTAAAAAAAAGAATTCTTAAAAGTTTATGTACGGCTAAAGGGGCTTCAAATGTTAAATAATCAATATTTCTCAAGACTGGTTGCGAGAACGGAACAATACATTTTAAAAAATATCTAAATCATGTATATTCTTAAGACGTTTAAAAGAGAAAACTAAATCATGAATTACCCTACATTATTGTAAAGGTAATAAATTTAATTTACTCAGGCGCTAATATTCAATGTACTCCTCATCGAGAATGAATCTCGTGGCCCTGCGTTCAATTTGTTCTAAGTTGGTAATGTTTCTTTTGGTGTAGGGTGACCATACTACACAGGCATAAAGAAAAACCTCATACGAGACAAATCTTATTAAGCTTTTTTAGTCCACTGGTGAAACAAAATAATCACCAGGGGTTACTTAAGAAAAGATAACTCCTTCTGGAATTAATAAAAAAAAACGTTTTTAGTATCAATTCAAAGAAGACATGTTGCTTATTGTTATAAGCAGAGGGATTTCTTATATGTTTAAAACATTTTAAATGATGATCAATTAAATTTGACATGGAAAATCAGAGGGGTGTTTCACTTCATAAGTTTAAGTACATACATCATATGGAAAATTGCTCTGCTTATAACACAAAACTTATCAAAAGGAACAAATGCTGAAAATTTCAGATCAATTGGATAAATTGTTGTCAAGATATCTTTTCTTGAAGACAAAATTATTGCGTAATGAGAAAATAGCCTTTACAGATAGCAATCAAACTTAATTTTCTACAATATGTAACCACTATAGTGTCCATATTTTGTCCACAGGAGTATCTAAAAGTAATTTAAAAGCCTCCTGGTTCATAAGTAACTCCTTCAGCTTCCTGAAGGGCTTCCTCTCGACGATTCCTCAGAAGTCGCTCCCCTTGACGCCGTCTCCTTTCCTTCTGCATAACCTGCAAATCAGACTTAACCAATCTTTTACTGTCTTTTGCATGTGTTGCCACTCTTGTACAAACACCACCAGGGATACAAAGCCTCTCCATGATTTTTAGCCTACTAGAAGCTCCATTATGGTAGTGGCAGACTGCTGATGCCGCAGCACACCTAATTACTTTTACACCATGGTGTTTATGTTTAGGATACCGTACCCACACCATTGAGTTAACATACTCATTGGGATTTTGTGTTGTTCCCAACACACACCTCTCTAGCAATTTAGAGTCACTTAGAGTCATAAAAGTCGGTTTCAAGACTTCAAGAAAGACCTCCGGCAATCAGTTACCACTACTGTATGTAGATGTTCCTGTTGCTTCATCTTGTTTCCATTTACACCAAGAGGATTCCCCTGGTGGACAAAATCGATGCTGTTTGGCGAGGTCATTTGACTCAACATTGTGATGGAGTATTGCAATAATGTTTTTTTTCATTGTATAAACTGCAACCTCCACCTCCCTTCTTGCTGGATTGGATTTCCTGATGGTATTTTGTCGATTTGCAGGTCCATAATCTTTCTGGAACTTCTTTATTCTTGTGTCAGACAGTCTCCCTATACCACCAATAGGTTTACCATCAGCTAGTTTCCCTTTAGTTCTGGCCTTCAGGTTCAACAGATGTTTGTCCATCCTTTTTTGGACATGTCCCACACAGTCTAATTTCTCCACTTTGATTTCACCATAAATATTTTCCACAGAATTAAAGGCCTTGCTATCACCATCGCTCATCATCCATCCATCTGTACCTCAGGTTGTGACGTTCCAATGACCTTTCCCACGAGACTACAGCTCCTTCACACTCCATTGCTGGTGAGCTACCAGCAAAGTTAATGTCACATTCATGTTCCAACAACCACTCCTCAAATTCTTCCTCATTTACACCTTTTGCTTTCTTTAAAGCACATTTCTGACATGCCTTTGAAAGGACATGGTAGTCCAAAACTTCACCAGTGTCCACTGAAATGACAAAAACCACTCCAGTTAATGAGGTAAACCCTCGTTTGGCCCAAGTGCCATCAAAACTTACAACAGCATCCAGAGTATCATCCAGATCTTTTTCTGGGTTTTCTTCCAAAATCTGCTGCCCAAGTCTCTCTCCAGCTTTTCTCATGTCCTCCTTTGCTTCATCCTCAAGAGCTTCCAGGATGTTGTCCACTTGTTTGTAGTAAGCAGGCTTAGAAAGGCAGGGCATATTCATTATACCACAGAATGTGGCAAGGCCTTCGTAACCACTGCCACTCTCTATAGCATGTTCGACAACTCGGCGGTTAATGTCATATGATTTCCCTCGCTGGGTCACACCACTGGATGTTGGAAGTGGACTGGATTCCTCACAGGAACAGCACTGAAGGGAAAAATGTGACATCAGCCCTGCTCTTGCACTTTTTTCTTCCTCAAGAGTTAAGGTGCCTAAAGACAAATCAAGTGAAAATTGTAAAATAAATCGGGCAATTTTATTATAAGCAAAGTAAAGACCTCAAGTCAGAAATACACATTCTGTGATTTTTCCCCATAATTTTTTGTTTACAGTGTATATGCACAATACCTAAAAATCTTTCTCTTACCCAATCCAAGATTTAATAGATAAATCAGCGTATTTAGCAGGGAAAAACTGGAACTAAGGGTCGATATGATATGGGAAATAAGTCATAATCTAAAACAGAGAAAGACATAGATTTCAAAAAATTTCTCACCTTTCTCACACATGTGTGCCTTTGAGACGGCCGTGGATAAATTTTTCACATTTATTAATCTATATCCCTCGCTTTCCTCGGTATTGAAGGTATACTCTTCATCAGAGCTGTCTAAAAGAAGCTCCTCGTCGGCATATTTCATTTTCTTTCTAGAGGAACCAACGGTTTCTTTAGAGTCCGAGTCGGAGAGCTGATTTTCATCCCGCAAAGTGCTCGGAGTTGAGGCGGCGATTTCGCCAACATCAGGAGCTGTTTCTTCAGACTCTTCTTTTTGTTTTCGCCTTCCAGAAAAATTTCTTTTTCTTTTCTTCCTGTAGACAGATCTACTTTTCTCTCCGACCATTTTCGATTTAACTTTTCCTTTGATTATAACTTTTCCTTTGATTGCTCCGAGTACACTGAGTGTCACATTCGACCAAAGCTGCCTCTAAATCAATGCCATAATGGTTTTGACCCAAGAAAACCATTCAGATAAGACTAAATAAAGTATTTCTCGTTAAATCCTACCCGTTTGGAGCTTGGTTGCCAGAATAACACGTCATAAACAACTGAAAAATTTTTAAAAAAAATGCTCTTCTCGTTGCCATGGTAACCACGCCATTTGCCAGAGCGGGAATTTTAAAATCGCTCAAAAAGGCAAAAATTGTGAAAATAAGTGGAAAATTATTTTTCCATAGCAAAGCTGAATACCCAAAGCTGCAAATTCCAAGGGAAAAAAAACTCAGTTTTTGAGCAAATTTCAGGTTTACCCCCGCCTTAACTTTTGAACTGATAAAACTGTCTAGGCAAATCCGTTTAATACAGTAAACTCCCTGTGCACTAAAAGTTTGTCTCTTTCTGAGAAGTGGATGGACAAGACAGACGAATTACAATTGCTATTTATTTTTGTTAATAGCGGTCGAATTATAACATTTTCAGTTAAAACACAGAATGGCACAACACAAACAAACTAAAACAACAAGCAAACAAGATGAACACTTTCCTAAGAAATTTTGAGAGAATCTGTGGATAGGTCATTGCTCCGAAATAGAATCATATTCCAGAATGAGACGGAGACACTCAAGTTGGATCGAAAATGTTCCTGATTAGAAAGGATTCCCTGCTCAGTTGAGATACACTTAAGACTTTACTCTGTATTGGCCACATAGTTTAACAAGGTTACTATGTTCCTAGTTTCAGAGGTATTCAAGGTATAAATAATTTCATGCGTTTCGGTTACATTTGGATTCTCCTTAAAGTCCATTTGTTATCACCTGGGAGGAGGGACGGTAAGGGGTCGGAGAAATTTAATTTAAATTTGCCTGTTCCCCCCCCCCGAGGCTCTGTAGTATTCTGACAGCCCCCCCTCCACCTTTTACTAGCAGTCAAATTTCTACGGTCACCCTCATTTACACTCTGTCAGCGACGACTTATCCCGCCCCTCCCTCCCCCCTTGAATACCACGTGATACCCCCAAATCCTCCGACCCCCACCCCCCTCCATAGGTGATGAATAGTAACAGGTCCCTTGCTCAGGGGGGGGGGGGGAAGTTGAGGGTGCAGGGGAAGGAGTTGAGGGCATAGGGGAAAAATTTATTTTTTTTCATGTCAGTAATTTTCATTATTTTCAATTAAAAATAAAAATGCCTTTTGTTTATGGTACTCTATATGTATGCCCCATTATTTAGGAAAAAATATACATTTTTGTTTTCATACACCTCTCAATATCAGTTGTCCGTTATCTTATTACTGAGGAGACTGACAGACACAATTAAGGAAATGATAACCACAAAGAATTTTGTCAATTTATAGAAACAAATTGTCCGATATATACAGCGGGCTAAACAGTTAGCTGACAGAGCGACGAATTTTGGAAAAAAGCTTTTTATATTACCTCTGACAGTGTAAAAGAAAAACAGTTACATAGATTGTTAACAATAATTTGAAAGGTTGTGCAACAATAGTGTATTGGCAATTTTAAAATGTAATCTTAGGTATTAACTTAATATATGTAAAGCCGTTAGCTATATAAGATCATATAACAGGGAATGGAAATAAAAAAAGCAGGAGTCGCCCTGGTTGTGTTTGTTGTGGTAGTCCCGAATCTAAGTCGCTAGGTTGCTTTATTTTGATAACCGAGCCGTTGAATCTCCAACCTGTAAAATTTATGTCAAACATGGCTAGAAATCGAAGACATCATGGCGGCTAAGCATGCGCATAAAAGACAAATTACGGAGTTTAAATATGGTGGCTGCATAAGGCTTTCTGTGGGAAAATTTTGAAAATCAGACACAGCAATTTTTATGGAAGCGTGTACTAAATATGCCCTCGTCTGAAATGTATTAGAAGAGTGTCCAGATCACTCACCTCCGTTCTCAAACTCTTACGATTTCGCTACGATCTTCCCCAGTCGAAGAAACTTTAAACCTTTTTGGTGCCCAAAGTGTCTTAAAATGGCTTATGTTGGTCAGCTAAAGCTTCTCCTGCAGCCACAACAAGGGTTGTTTTATCAATTGCCCACGTCTGTTCGATGTCTTCGAAAGCCGACCTTCTAATTGAAGGCTATTTGAAGTCATAAAAGTGTGAATCCGCGCAACCAAACGACTTCCAAAAGTCCAAAAAAATTTTTTTTCTTATTGGTCTTGTTCCCAGTAGAGACGTTGACTCAAAAACTAAAATTATAAGATCTGAAAACATATCAAAGAACTCTTCGATCGCCATTTTGTAAAGGTCAGCATTAGATTCCATCCACCTAAACCACCTTGGTCGAGAGGGACTGAGATGGAATGATGGACAACTCATGACTTGTTATACTAAATGAAAATTACGAAGCTACGACAACATGCCGACTTATCCCGATGACCTAAGTGTATCATTTGTTTGGGAAATTGCGTCAAAACTTTTTACTCAAGAAATGGTAAGTATTAATTTATTGTTCGATTGTAGTTTTATAAAACATTTTACGCAATTTTATGCAGATATTTCACGTATTTAAAAGGTGCCCAGATGTTACGTAGTTTTGGTGGATGTCATTAGGGAACATCCACCAAAACTTTGACCAAAACCATCAACAATATATTTTTTTAATTTTATCTATAGCCACTGTTAGATGTTCAGGGAGACAAAAGATTTATACCACTAATTAGCAGTTAGTGCTCTGGCTAATTATTTTTTATGGTGCACAATTGCTGACCGACCAAACGTTCATAATGATTATCATAACTCTTAACACATAAAATAAAGTGGTTTTGGTGGATGTTTCTCTCCATCCACCAAAACCACCATAGCAATTTCTGCTACTTCCTTACAGAAGACTGATGTGACCTGCTATTTGGAGTACATAACCGCAATCTATTTCTTTGTATGTAGAGATATTTTGCAAAGTTCTTGAGCCAGCACCTTTTATTATTGAAACCATAATCATAACATGGTGCACAATATAGAATACAAAAGGTTCTGGTGTGGTAATCATGTAATCTTGAAACAGGAGAGTTTTTAACTGACTTAAACTGATTTAAACAGACATTTGCAACAAAATTCCAGGTCCAGAAATTTCTTCCACTATTTCCGCTAAAATCATAACCTTTAAGTACAACAAATCAGCACATTAGTAATTGTTATCAGGGGTCTGGAAATCCTATAAATCTTTCACATTTATTTCAAGTAACCTTTAATTTCACATGGATGAATAAGTATATGCTCAAGATGCAGAATGTCTTACATTTTACAAACTATTTCCCTTTTTATGGATAGACAGTGAAAGGCCTTTGCCACGTTGGTGAATCAAACCATTGTATACCATCCATTTTGTGATAATTGTTTGTTTTTGCTCACAATATCCAGAAAAATGGAGGGGATAAATTTAAATAGCAAATTCTATTAATGGTTAAAATTAAATAACATTGGAAGATCAAATTAACTTTGTACTGTTTAAAATTCAGTTTTGGTTTCTTACTTATTCCAGCCTATTAATATTCAAAAGCATTCCTTGTCAATTTTGTGTTCTTCTGTGTACATAACGTGAAAAATAAACACAGAGAAAGGAAACCACAAAGGATTAAACTTGAAGCTAAAGCAAAGTTTAAGTTGAGCCATAGCTGATCCAAATACTGAGCACTTTGTATTGTAACCCATTTAGCAGTAAAGTTTATCTATATGTCTGCCAGCTTGTCACAAGTCTTACCCCTCTCCTTCAAAAGTCTCTATAAATAAATTTTTCTTTGTGGTCCCTAATTGATGATAAGTATATTACAGCTCCTCAATTTTCCTCTCTCAAGACAAGGTTACTCTAAATTTAACAAAGTAATGGACTTGATAAAACTCAAACTATAACTCAGCTGGCTGCTACTTGCAACCTTAATTTCTAGATATCAGTATATGATAATCAGTATGTTATAAATAAGAACCCTAATGCTTAATTTTGCAGTGATCACCTTCCTCCTTTTCATTTGCAGACCAGACTGGAACCTCTATAGGTGTGTTTGCTTGTTTTGAGTGGGGATGGAAGAAAAGGAGTCATGCAGCATATCTGATTTATTAAATCACATTTTTTCTGTTTATACATGAGTAGAACTACCTTGTTCTCTGAAAAAAATAAAATTTCTCGCATTTTTATCTGTGCTTTGCAGTCAAACTTCCTTGTGTCTTGGACAAGAAATCTTATTTTCTTGAAAACAAAATCTTTGTTTCTAGCCTTCTGTAATAGGTAAATATAACAGTGTAAGATGAGTGACAGTGTATTTCTCAAGTTATTTTTTGGAATGTGACAAAACGGAAGTGTCATAGCATGATAAGGAGCAAACATATGATTGCTTGATAGAAAGCAAAAAATGCAGAATTGCATATATTTTCTCCTTTGTCAGCACCATATGTTAGTGAAAAGTTCTTATAATTGTTAACTTCTAAACCATCTTCAATTTAGCCAAGATTGAACTGTTATCACGTTTGTCATAAAAGTATTCTGAGATCAATGTCATAGACTCATTCAAGTATTTGACCTTTCGAATTAGCAAGCCATAGTTGACAGAAACACAAAGGTTGAGGATAAAAAGAAATTATTATATACAGTACTTCTTCTGCATCTTTTCGTTTCCTTTTCTCTTCAGCTGTTCTATCTATGCCGTGCTGGCAATTGAACACTTTCCTTCCCAAAATTGGGAAAGGCACACCAGTAAAAAACGAATTTTTGCTCCTTAAATATCTCATGCATCTTCCCCCAGTATTTTGTGACTTCTGACCGAGGAAGGAGGTGTAAACTTTAAATTAACCCGAATGATTCCACAATTGTGGTATCATCCAAGCCATGCCAGAGGACTTGAACTAGATAAACTAGTGAGAATGCACAATAGCGATAGCAAAGCTTTGT